ACACACACACACACACACACACACACACACACACACACACACACACAATACATTTAAGCGCTTAAACACCAGTGCTGTTGACACAGATTTGGAGTTTATTCACACATCACATACTACAGTGGGTAATGTATTCAAGAAACACTGAACAGCGCTGCCACATATGACACAGGAACAAAAGAAAGACACTGAACCCTTTTCTTCGCCATTATATAAAAATAGTGTTGCTACAAAAGTATAAATTAGGCTTACTAATAAAGACAACTCAGATCTGAAGCTACACAGGAATCTGCTGCCAAAGTGCATTAAAAACACACAAAATTAAGAGACTCAACCCATTTTTTTGCATTTTAGCAGAGTATAAAAGGAAGAAATGCCTGTAAAATAGGGTGAAAGCAACACTAATTTCTTAACCTGAATTGATAATACAGAGTATGATCCATAGTTAAAACAGAAAAGGTCTCCATGTTTGCATTCTTATACCATATTTTACAATTGTTAATCTGAATAAGTTAAAATCCTGAAACAAAATAAAACTTACAGCGGATTTAAATTGTCTAATAACAGTATCTTAAGTTGAGTTTTCTATTATATCAAAAACCTTTTGAAATGCTACTGTAGAAAATAGAGGTATAATGTTATTGGTGTTCCCTACTGTAGCTCTGAAATGAAGGCTCCCCCTTGTGGCATAAGACAGCAGTTCTCTTGTATTTACATAATTCATCCTCTGAAAAATGGATGATGTCAACCCATTAACAGCAACTTATCCTCAGCATCGCTCTGCTCCCCACCGTCAAAGGTTAAAAGTCAGTCCCGGTTGCTCCTCTGGCTGTTTGATGAGTGTCCTAAAGGTGACGTCTACTCATGAGCCAGCGTTTCACCTCAGATGGAAGTGAACCACGGCGGCTGTAACTTTATATACCAGTAATCGTATTAAAAGCATGCATATCTTAGATATAATTCTCATTTAATCAACAAAAAAAGAATGCTATTTCTAAGTAAAATTATGTTGACATCATTACGTCAACAATGGCATTTTGTCCCAGAGCATATCATATTTAAAATACTTATTTAAAAACCTGTAAGAAAAATCCCTTCGTCAGTTCAATTCAGGATCACTGCTAATACTAATGTACAGCGTTTTGACTAGATCTTAGACCAAAGCTAAATTTTGTATGAACATCTGATTTTCCAATCTTAAAATCACAACATTACCTTCTGAGTACTGAGGCAAAACATTGGATTGGTTCTTAAAAAATAAAGATTTTAAATATAACTCGCCCCCAATCCTTTTTTTTCTTTTTACCAAAATATAAATGTGACATAAATCAGTTGTAGAACAGTATTATACTATCACACAGAGGGAAAACAGATACACCGTGTTAAAATGTGAACAGAATAATAACCTCAATGCAAAGAAAAGAAAAAAAAGACAGTTTCAGAAACCATTACAGAGCAACCCTAAGACCCCCTGAACATGTTGCCTTTGCTGCCCCCTTCAAGTGGTTTAACTTCTCACCTGGCTGCAGTGATGTACAGGTGTACTCAAGCTACCCCGTGACATCACCGCTGGGTGTGGTTACAGGTGTTTCTGACCACTTCCATCCGACACGGATTGGTGAAACAGGCGGTAAGCTTTCAACCAGAGAGAGGGCAGCAAAACAGTGCTTTTCAGCCCGGCGTGCAGTCACTCTTTTAGGAGATAAAAAGCATTTATGAAAACACTAAATCAAAGCTGGAGACGGACGTAATGAGGGCAACGGTCTATTAAAAACAACCTGACACAGTTTGCAATGCAGAGCCATTCATCTTAGATTGACAGACATAACTGAAGCATATTTAACCATAAAAGCATTTAGAATAAAATGTTTATCATAAATAAAAACTGTCCGTTCTTGGTTTTACACTTCAAACTATTTACTCACATTTCCATGTGCAGTGTACTGACTTATCTACATTATACTTCCTGTGTCCTTACAAACTAAAAAGGCGCAGTCGTGTTTAACAACACTGCCCCCCCACGCTCAACCTCAAAAAAAAAAAAAAAAGCACATGTCACAATTCCAACCTGGGTGATAAATAAATGCGGATCACTAACAGTGACCCGTCTATGAGGGGAGGTGTCTGTCAATGCACACAACATTGATACGTCTTCCTGCTCTGATGTGAGCCCAATGAAGACCTGATCTACTACCTATAGCTTTATACAGTGGATGCTTGTGCTTGGGTGTGTTATTGTTGAAATAAGTCCTGGCCTACTTTGTAAACCAAGAGACGACTTAAAACTTTGGAACACTTGTCAAATACCAGTTTTTTTTTTTTTTTTTTAAGTCCCCCACTCGTCCACTAGAGGACACTGTTTCACACCATCAGCCAGAGGTTCCCCTTCGAGTCTACCGGAGTGAAAAAAACAACTTTAGAAAAGATGGTGGAAAGAAGGCCATTGAACAGCAATACAAAGGCATGATGTTGGTTCTGACTGTAGGGTTCAAGGTGAACGCATGAAAAAGACTTAAGGCCCAAAAACACAGATGACAAACTAGTACTTGACAAATTAGTATTAAAGGCAACAAACGCATTTACAGTATCATTTCCATTCATCCAAGTCATTTCAGGAGGTATTGGCTAATGCAGATGTATACTAGAATCCATAAAAAAATAAAACAGCTTGATTTCATTAGTACTGGCAGAATTTGCTTTAGCCTGAAAAAAAAAAAAATAAACCCTCAGTGATCCATTTTTTTTTTTGTTTATTTGTTGCAAATGGCACGAACTGTATTCGGGGTGGAACGTTTCACAAAAGTCACGGTTCAGTACATTCCTCGGCATTGAGGTTACAGGTTTGGTGTGTTTTCGGTACAGTGAGGAAAAAGTGGCGGGTGCCTGCTTGGGTGCACTCATTCCTGAGAAGATCCCGTTGATTTCACACAAAACAAAATATGACTATTAATAATGAGCTGTTGTTAACCGTCATGAGAACAGTCATGTCTAGTAGATGAACTATGATAAATGTGTGGCTCACATAGGGAAGACAATGTATATATTAGAATGATCAATGGTAATAAATTAAATAGTGTATCTAGCCGTTTGACCTGCATATTCAGCAGCATAAGACCTGATTTAATTTAACCATTTGATGACTTTTCTCTACAATTCGTAACATAAACAAAAAGCGTCATATTAATGTTTTATCCTTTTGAATGAAAAAAAGTGCATGCAGTGCAGTGCATGCAAATGATCCACAGCTAAAATGCTAGGCCGCTTATTAAGCAACCGTCCAATCGGCTGCGATGATGTAGCTCTTAGAGACCCGACCGTCTCACATGGCTGAATGTGTCGATTCGTGATAGTAAATCAGATGTCAGAGGTGCAATGGCAGTAGAGATTCACCTTTTGAATCGTTTGTCCAAACACTCTACATGTTACAGTACTTTAGGAGTGTCCCGAAGAATTTACATTATCGTATCCGATTGGCCAAGAGATGCCTATATTCGGCTGATCGTCAAATCATGTCTTTTGTTTGTTCTTGCTTATTGATTCCTCCGTTTCAGCTTTACATAGAAAAATACTAAAAACAACATTACTGGCCGAGATACACGTTCCTATCCCTCAGCTGTTGTTTCAGAACAATGGACAGCGTCGTTATGTAGGGTGTGTACATGTGTGTACTTGTGTGTGTGTGTGTAGTTGCGGCGCTGTCTGTTGTACTGACATGGAGTGGAGATCGATAGAGAGAGACACAGTTTCTTATCCCGTTTGATTTTCGTGGTTGTAAATAGAACTTTCTGTCCCAATTTCATTTTTCACATCGTAGCAATCGACAGACAGAAAGGAGACGACAGGGAAGCGAAGAGACGGTCTCAAGAGACGCAAAACGCAAACACTTGTTATAACGGCGCTAACACCCGTTTCTACGCGTCTCCCCCGAGCTGATTTTGGAGAATATTCATGAAATTCAAAATATATCTAGCTCTCTGATAGTGCTAAGCTCTGTTATTTAGGAACATATGCAGTCCAATCAGGCTTCTTGAGATTGAACTGTTGAACAGTCGACTATTCAGATTCATCCTGATACTACTTATGGATTTTCAGAGGTCTGTGACAGTAGTTCCAAGCAGCGAAAGCAGATTTTTACCTGAAAATGATGTCATCCAGTGAGAACAGCATTATAGCCTATTAGCAGTTACGTCATTAGGCTGAAGTAATTCTAATCATAAGAGGGATCCTGCTTACATGTGCATGCCAAACCGAGGGCCGTGTACCAAACAATCTTTTGAGAGCTACCGTTCCACCCCTACAATTTGTCCATAGTACTTGACAACAGTCCTTTCTCCATACAAAATATGCAATAAGTCGTATTGTTTTATGAGTGTTTGCAACCTATACAATGCGAGTTTCTGGTAAATATCTGTCATGAGAAGTATTTAACACATTTAAGTTTACAGTTGGTCTAAGCCTACAGTATATAAATAATAGTCTTCAGTCATTGGTTGGAGGTGAAGGTTTGGTTGGTCGAGTGTCTCTCCTAGCCCATGTTGGAGCGAAGGAAAATGAGTTTGTTCATCTCCTCGGAGGTTACCTGCTGCCTCCTCTTCATAGCCAGGCTCTGCTCGCAGACAGTCACACACTCACTGCGTATGCCCACAGCAGGCACAGCAAGGAGCCACATTGCCAGGCGAGAAAGCCTGGGGAACTTCTCATTCACTGCTGAGCTCCAGTACTGGAAGAGGTCAGGTGTGCCTTGGAGAAGAGGCTCAGCCATGTATTGAAAAATCTCTTGTCTAACTTGGCTCTGACTCTCATCATTACCAGACACTGTGCAAGACCCCCTTGAGGTGCCGCCATTGTTTCCCCCTCCCTCTATGCGGCTTATTTTCGGGGTCGGTGGGCCATCGGTGTCCCGCTCTTCACCGCCTGAACCTCCTCCACCACCGGTCATACCTCCATCCCTGGTTTCAGCAGCCATTTCGCATGCGCGGGAGATTATGTCTTCATGCTGGTAGGCCGGCACTGAACACAGTTTGAGCTGTGGGTCGAGGATCATGGCTACCTGGTGGGCTCGTTCGACCTAGAGACAGACGAACATTACAATGATTGCGAGTTCCTTCCTAACAAACCAATCACTGATATGCATGCGTCATACATCAAGGTTATCTTTACTAGCACTGGGTATTTATCAATACTTGGTTGGTTGGCATCAAATGTCTGGTCACATCTGTCAAATCTTGTTCAAATAGAAAACTCATTTTGGTTTTTATTCAAGCAAAGTTCAATAAAATCTCACCAGCATTGGTAGATTTTAGTAATACCTTATCTTATCCCTAAACGCTATTTTCAAGAAACTTTATGTAAGCAACACCAGTTCAGTACCTTGAAATGTTCCTTAAGTGCTTCTAGGAAGTAGTGGCAGAGTTTGCTAGCTGGGCCGGTTCCAGCCTCTCCAGCTTTGGACGTGAAAAACTTCTCCAAGCGAAGGTACACGGGCAGCACCTGCTGTAAGGTTGGTCTCCTCTGGCCGCTCAGCTCCAGAGCTGCCAAACGCAGAGGTGCCAGCAGACAAGACAGCGTACCCAGCAGATGCTTGTTGAGACCTTGGAGGAGCGGAGCTGTGGTCTTACTGCGTCCGTAAGCCTCGCAAATCTGTTCAAAGTGGGCGTGGACCTGCAGGAGAGCTTCAGCCCCACGCTCCCAGCAGGGAGGGGTGGGGCTCTGTGCACCTTCCTCCGTTGTGCTTGTGGATGTTTTGGAGCAATGTTCCTCGCGAAGGGACAGCGTGGTGGAGGCGGCAATATCCCGGCACGTTGAGAGAAGCTCGGCCAGCTCATGAAGACCTCGAGCCTGGAGGCTGCGCTTCCCAAGAACAGCCTGGACAACGGCACCGAGTGAACACCCGGCGCATCGCAAGCATATCCTGCTCCGGCCGCCGCCGAGTGGCGATCCCGCGAATCCCGCTGCCAACACTTTGGGCTCGGAGACGTACACGGTGCGAATGTCGGACATCACAAACTCGGACAGCACATTCTGCACCCAGTGGTGAATCTGCTCGGGCCCCTCCCTCAGCTCAGCCTCCCTCACACCGAGCACGTAGCGCTTCAGCCTCGACCCCTCCACCTGGTAGGCTGTGAGAACGTAGCAAGCGTCGGGGCCCGATGTCTGGGAGTGGCATGTGATCGCGATGCCAAGTGAAGCATTGGAGCCGAGGGCACACGTGACTTTGACTTTGACTTGGTTGTACATGCGGGGCAGCTGACGCAGTGCCAAGGCACTCATGTTGCCAAACGCATCACGGGTGGAGTAGGCACCGTGACGAGCACCCGTATCCACTAAGGTCTGTGCCAATTTCAGGAAGTCCTTGCTGTTGAGCACATTTAGCATGCTCAGATCTGAACACATTACCCGTAAGAGGCGCTCAGCCACCTGCTGACGTTCCTTCTCAGGCAGTCCATTATTCTCTGCCAGCACGGACAGCAGATGGATGGAAAACATAAGAAAGATAATTAGTGTTTATGTTTTCTAAATTAGATATATTGGCAGAAAATGCACAGTATCTTAGAAGGGAAAAGGAAATACGGAATCATACAAAATGACATGGGATATAACTTCACTTTAAAACGCATAGGCTATACATGGCATGACTGGAAGTTCATTCACACGAAAAAGATTTTGCAACGTCTCTAGTGCAACAGAAAAGGGGGGGGGTATGGCTCCTCAGCAAGAATCAAACCAGCGCTGTTGCAGTTATATGGTATCCCACCAGAGGCTCCATAATAATTCCATTTGAACAATTGCCCAACCAAACAGTGTACATAGAGTCAAGGGGGATACAAACATGTTCATAGCCCCGTTCTTACAGTAACTCCCACAGTGTGAAATGAATTAGGTTGATTGCAGAACTTACGGCTGACGGTGTGGTTTCTCTGGGGGAGGCTTTGAGGCTGTATTTGTAGTTTAACTGAGGAATGGGCCTGAGCCGGAGAGCTCCTCCACAGCGGCTCTTGGGGACCGGAGGCTGAGGAGGTTTTGGGAGAGTCCCCTTTCGTGTGGTTCTCATTGTCCGCTGAGGAGATACAAACGTGGAACATCAGGCAGAGGCGACAACATTGCGTGGTTTTAATGAAGTGTATATTAAGCGTTTACGGTGGAGAAAAAAATGTAGAGAAGAAAATTATGACACAAAATTAAACAAACAAAAGAAAAATGACAAAAATACATTACTTGGCCTCCCTAAGTCTGTCATTAACAAATTGTGCCTTCAAAACTAGATTAACAATTTTGACTGATTTGTTTCCTGTTTATTTTCCTGCCAATTCACACATAAATATCAGCCACAAATCTTGCAGGGTATGTCTTCAAGTAAAGTCAGTCAACAACGCCAAACCTGATGTAAAATGATCAACTAGTGTACAGGTGTTCTGTTTCCATTGGTGAAGGATAACAGTATTTTAAGACTGGCCAGACGAAAGTAAAGGACAGGCAACATGACTCATGCATAAGAGGGTAAATAAACGGCCCTATAGTCATTTATCAAGTAGAAATACCTAACATTTAGTGGTAACACCTTCTCAAATATGGCTGAGCTAATAAAAAAAGGCTGAGCTACGGTATTTACTTTGTGTGGCAGCGGCAATGATTTGGATTGTGATCGTTTGTTTGCGTTTGTTGTCGTGAAATTTCTGTATGAGTTTGATTTGTTTGTTATAAATTTAAACAATGAATTGTTTATAACACTAAACATATATTGTGCAGCATGTTAGCCCGGGATCATTGAATCTTGATTTTTTTGTAGTATTATTGTTTGTTGCGTGAAGATTCATTAGCATGTGAAACAAACAATCCAGTCCCCCCCCCCGAAGCTCACCGCTGGTTGCTTGAGATTGGAATTGGTCTTCAATTTCTGACATTTTATATTATAAAAGATTTCTAATTTAAAAAAAAGAATCGGAGGATGATGAACTGTGTACATGGTTACATGTATAACGCACTTAAAAAAAATGTATCCAGCAGCCTCAGAACCAGATCTGCAACAACCCGGATTACAACTGTGTATTCTTTGGAACTTTTATATGTTGTGTACCTCAATAAACAATTATGAATCGTGTGTGATGACACTGCCTTTCACATGCACTGCAGCCACTTGAGGGCGTGTTCACATTTTGTATTCGTTTCCCTGTCGAGCTGAACATGCACTTGTAATAGTGGACTCACCAGCGTGGGACTGCATGTGCTCCAGCAGGTTGTTGTAGAACTGGAACTGGATGCCACAGGCACCACAAGTGTAGGGTTCTAAAAAATCACAAGGCCCAGAAGAGCGTTGACTCTTTGATGGAGGAGAAAATAAATACACTGTCCATCTGCTAGCCTCTAATATCCCTGTTATATACGCTGGAGGTCAGTTCCACCAACATGGTGCTGCTTTTGTGCATTTCAGAAAAATTGACCAAAAATTGTGATGCAGTTTTTGTGTTCATTTCCAAGTATAATAAAAAAAATTGCAGCTATGTTTAAAATTTGTATGTTGTGGCATCCTAGTGGGGTTTAAGGCGCTGGCCATGTAGTCACAATGTCCCTGTTTAGAAAAGGCTTTGTTCCATGTCATCTCTCTCCCCTCATCTGTCCTATCTAATAAAAGGCAACACAAACAAAAAGAAAACATAATAAACAAATAAATGTTTAAATAAAACATTTAAAAAATGTTCCAACAATCTATGACCACCAAAAGAAAACAGTGTAGTCAGCCGATGCTACGTTGCTAGTCATTTCAAGGCTATTTCTGAATGCAATGCAGACGACACGGCTAATGTTAACATTTATGTTCAGACATGCCCTACTGATAGTGAGGCTAAAAGCAGAAAACCTGTTTAGTCACAATGGATTATAGAGAAACTATTTGCCCCAAACAATGACAGATTCAACAAAAATTGAAGCATACCAGAAAAAAAAAAAAAAGGTGAAATGAGAAGGAGGCAGCATGCACATTGTCTGTTTTGAGCAGGAAGGTGCGGTCGACTTACTCTGGGTTGTAGAGAAGGTGCTGGCCACCAGAGGGCTCGGAGTTCCTGTGGACGAGAGGAAAGGGAGGGAGTTCAAACCACAGACGGAGAGAGACATTCTCGATCACCCTTTTCCCTCGTTTATTCAGTCAGTGCCTTAAGTTTTAACGGTATCCTCTTATTATCCGCCAATGTATAACTTGCTTTGTAGCAGAACTGAAAAATGCTTTTCACCATTCGAGCAGAAATGATACATTGCCACTTAAATACACTCCCATCCAAATCAAATAAGTGACTCAGTGCTCACCGCTTGAATTCTGCGAACTGTTTGTGTCAACCAGACTAGACTGAATTGCACTTTCCAGTTTCCGCCTGAATGGACTGTCTGTAAGTGAAAACACAGGAGAAACACTGAGTGACATGGCCGCGCTCAATAAGGTGGATAATATTCTTAATTCGAGCTGAAAAACCCACACAGTTAAGTCGGAGCAAAGTCAGTGACATGTGTATTAATCGCAGTTTCAGTTCGTGGCATGCAAATCCATCACGCTAACTGCCTTGACAGAAAGGATCCAAATGTTCATATTACATTTAAATATGGTTTTAATTCCTCCTCTTCATTCCATCTTTGTGACCCACTTATGGGATGCGAGTGTGTGCCATGCTTTAAATAGTTATGGTGGAGCGCGACATGGCAGAAAGACGGAGGGGGGGCACCACAAAATACAGTACCAGTTGAGAGAAGAATCTATGATTTATGACGGCTGGAAAAAAGATTTACTGATGCCTGCAATATTGACAATGGGCTAAAAAAAGTTTAATAAACAGACTATTTGATTTAACTTTGTTATGAACAAAAACATTTCATTTCAATGTGTTTGGGTGCTTGAGGCAATAAAAAAAAGACATAAAAGACAATATATAAACGTACCACTTAGAGTGTGTAATTAACACTTCACTAGAGGTTAGAGTTAGCTAGTCTCCAGCAGGGTTTCCTCAAATACAGTGGGGAAGGTGACCCAGAACCTCACAGTACAACTAATCTTTTTAGGGTTCTCTTCAATCCTTTTTCCACTGGCTCGGTGTGTCACACTTCAGCCATAGTGGAGCATGCTCTTATGAATTCCTAACACACCCTCTTAGCAGGAGTGTGATATTATTGCGACGGCCCCGGTCCTCAAACCCAGCTATGCAAAGAATCACAGTAAACCGACAGGCTGCACCTTCTGCGCTCCAACAACACGGCACATTATAAAAAAGACTGATTATTCAACAGTACAGGCAATGGGTGTTTGGGTTCTGACCAAGTTCACGAGGTTGTCACCAATGACAAATTTAATGTAGATGATCTGTAAATATGATATTGTATATATTACTATGATGCATAGTATGGGATAGGATGATGAGCTTATCAAATTGCAAGGCACAACAACTGAAAAAATGGAGGATAAAACAAAGATGCTTACTTTTTATCTTACCAGTTTGGCTGTGGCCAAATTTACTCATATCCATGCTGCCGCATTCCTGTACCCGTGATGTCTTCAAATCAAAGGAGCCTACGTCAAGATAGATTCTCAGAGTCAATTGTAGTTCAATGCTGCAACTTAAATTGGTGACATCCAATCTGGCAATACTCATTTTCTTAACAAAGATGCAAGGCTAACGTTGTAAACATTTGAAAACAAAATTCTAGAAGTTGGCACGGAGGTTATATTTGTACAAAGAAAATGTTCACATCCTACAATGGCTTTAAGCAGTAACTTAATTAACAAGCTCACCCATTGGCGCGTGAAGAGCAACATGCTCCTGGTACGGGTTAAAATACTTGTACTGCTTCCCACAGAACTCACACACATAGCTTCCCGTTTCTGCAGGACAAGAGAACTCACAATCAAACACTTTGTTTTCATCAAAATCCATGTTAGTGGTAAAACCTGTATCATGTCAATTAAGGTCCAGTTGGTCGGATTAAGGGAGAGAATCATTTTGTTAATCATGTCTTATTTCACTAGGGAGAAGCAGAAAACAAGAGGTCCTAATAAGACGGAGGAGTTGGGGATTTTGACTGTCCCCCCCCCCCCCCCCCCCCGACTGAAAATATACATTTTGCAATACCTCAATATTAGAGAACAAAAAAAACACAGGGGTCTCCCTGCATAGTGCGTGGAGGTTCACGCAATCCCCCACCAATCAGTAGGAGTCATTAGTGCAGGGACAAGTGCAGGCTTCCCACCTGCGAACACTGCCAATTGTGTTTGAAGGGACACCCGCCGCTGTCGGTTGAACCCGCTGTCTCTGCGGAGGTGGGCGAGTGCTTTTTCCCCTGCGAAGGAGGACTTTTGGACTCATGTTCTGAAACCTTTCCAGTGTGGAGTTAGCTCATATGCTTAATGTTATTTTTTTGTAACATGGATCACCATGACTTAAGGTTGGTCATTACAAACTGGACTTCAACCTGTCAAATCAAAACGGATGACGGATGCACCTAAAAATCTGCTTAGGATTTGAATGCCAACGAGGCAAATACGTAGGGATGTACCGAATAGTTCAAAGCAGAATTCAGAATTTTGACATTTGTATTCTAAAAATCAACATTTGCATGCTGCTCACCTTTTTTTTGGCATGTCTACTAATTGTCTTTAAACCCAGTATTCTGCACAATTGTAGATGAAACTGCCCATATATATATATATATACATATATATTAATGTTGGAGATGGAAGATTTATGTTGAAGAAACTGACGAGTTATGTTCATTACTTAAAATGTAAGAGCTGCAATTTGCTGCCTAAGCTAATATTAGCTAATAATAATAATAATAATAATAATAATAATAATAATAATAATAATAATAATAATGCATTTTGTAATCTTGTCCTACCATCTGTGGAAGAAAAAAAAGTGCATCAAACAGTCTTACTTGGTCCAATTTTCTGGTAGGGTTCAACTGGCTCCTCCTCTTTAAGGCCGTCCACAGGTAACACTACCTGTTCATATGGATCTGAGAGGGACGGGGGAAGGGAGGCGAGGATGAAATGGGCAGTGAGTTTTAGAGCGGCAAGTATATCCGACTGTTTACTTACATATTTATACCCTTTCTACATTCTTACCAACGACTTTACGTGGAGTAGTTAAGTTCTTGTAAGAAGGGAATATTACATTTTGTCAACATTCACTAATTTCTGAAATCGTGGGAATAGATCCGTTTCTTTTTGTTTCAACATTTTTCTGATCTCCTCTTTACTAAGCTCCTCAGCTTTTGTTGCTGCTGCAGGAAGTCGAGACTCTGCTGCATGGGGACAGTGTGAAATGGGAACTTCACTTATAAATGGCTTTCCAAGTCTGTGAGTTTCAAACAAAAAATAAATTGTCATGCAAATTGTCCAAAAACTCTTGGTTACCATCAACTGCATGCAGGTCACGGTGCTCCTGGAAGCAGCTGTAGTATTTATACTTCTTGCCACAGATGTCACAGGAGTAACGGAAGCTATCTGCAGAGGAAGAGATGGAGAGAGAACAGCATTGTTTACGATGGCAATGGTTATTTTGTGGATGACTGAATCCAAAACTGCAAACTGGGTAAGTAATAACCTAATAATAAAACAGCAAGACTTTGGTTTGGTGCATCGTTTGCAATACAGAGAGCAGGAGAGATCGGAGAGAGTAACACATGACACACTTAAGGAGCCATTGTTGGTACTGTGCATAAACTTTAACCAACTGGACCCCAAAAACACGGCAATTTAACATGTTTAGAAAAGCAGTTTCCCAAGGTGTTGCAACAGCTTTTCACATTTAATTTGCAGAAAAGTATTTCATCGTAGCATAGAAAGAGGGCCAGAGTTCTGTGTTAAGTCATTTTGCATCAGAGAAATTAATCAACAAAGAAATGGGATTAAAATACATAGAAAAAGCTTTGATTGCATCGGGACAGAGAAACAGAGGGAGGCTCGGTGAGATTAGATAAACAAGATAAATGGGCAGATGAATCCCCGAGAAAAAAAGTATGCAGTTTTGTATGCAAAACAAATTTCAATGTAAATTCATTCAATACTGCAATTTCAATAAAAAAAAAATATAAATAAATCAAATTTCATAGCCATTTTTCCCTAAAATTCGGTAGAGGGCTAAGAGGGTGAAGGGACATAAGGGACGCAGAGTACTTGCTCCGCTCATGCTAATCTTGTTGCAGTGGCAAGCATTGTGCAGCCAGGTGGCTGCTGACAATTAAGAATACCTGAAGTGCGCCACAGTGAAATCCTGCCTGAGGCCAATCTGCTGCATAAACAGCGTGACACAAAGCAAATGTAAGACAAAATCCTTTCTCCAGTTGGTTCATGTTTAGTCTTCTCTCCATTATAATATTCCTGACTGATGTTTCCCCCTCATGACGAATGTTTTATCATTTAGCACAAGAGCGACAACTTCTAAACCATCTCTCAGTCATTTAATCATTCAGCTGCATTCTCAGCTGAATGCCTGAGGTATTACAAAAGGTGCGTTTAAATAGTGTGAAATATTAGGTTTATTCTACTCTGGACGGATCATTTTTAAGTCGAAACATTTTACAGTTTATGCTTTAAAAACTGCATTTTGAATATTTTGGAAACATAGTAAATGTTTGTCCTGGACATGTGATACAAGGGGGGGG